GCAGCCGTGTGGAGCCCCCTGCTAGTGCTGAGATGCTTATTCGTTCACTGACTCAGCTTTCCTCCTGCAGTCGGCATCATTGCCTCTGTTTTGTGAGATGGAGGGCTTTGTGGATCTGTTTCTCTAACGTACCCAGACTAATACAGTGTCCTTGACCCAAGCCATGATCTTTTCTGTCAGCTCATATGCATGCATATCTGGACCATGATAAAGGAAGACTGAAGAAGTAATGTATTTACACAGTTGTGTAGATGAAGAATATTGACTGTACCATGGACTGCCAGAGGAGCAAACAAATCAGTCTTAAATATTTGTGTGTGTATACACACACAGAGAAACATATATAACCAGAGTGCTACTCATTTATCATGATGTTGTCTGTCTGTCCAGTGGTGAGAATTTGGTAAAGTAGACTTAAAAAAATCACTGCCATCATGTTGATTCCTACTCATAATGACCCGATAGCCCAGGGTAGAATGACCCCTGTGTGTCCTAGACTAACTCTTTAAGAGAGTAGAATGCCTCATCTCTCTCCCAAGGAATGGCTGCTGGTTTCAAACTAGCATCCTTGTGGTTGATGGATGAGGGCTTCTTGGTAGAGGGTTAGTGAAAACGAGAGAGCCCCTCAGTGAGGTGGATATACGACGGTAGACTCTCATAGTAAGAGTGTGAACATGTTCTGGGACTGGGCAATGTTTTGTTTTATACAAAAAGTCACCAAGCATAGGAGTCAATATGATAACTAACAACAGAAATGACAAAAAATCTTGTCAGGTCCTGTAGACCTCATAAAGTTTGACTCATTATTCTGAAGGTAATGGTGGAAATGAAAGGTTTTGAGAGAAGTGTATTCAGCTAGGCATTTTAAAAGCCTTACTATTGATTTTCAGAATCGAGTAGATCGGAATGTGAGTTTTAAAAGTAAGCAAGTACTGGCTGTTATTTATGGTGACATTGGGAGTATATATGATACTCAGTCGTTGCTTTTTGTTCCTTTTACACAGAAATGTGGATTTTCAGAACTGTATTCTTGGCAAAGAGAAAGAAAAGCAAAGACAGAATTTTGTCTTCACGATGGACCTCCCTATGCAAATGGGGATGTTCATGTTGGGCACGCTTTAAATAAGGTAATTGTATTTCAGTCTGGTTATAAGAGCAAGGGACTGTCTTTATAGATTACTCTTTACATAAGAGTGTATGCCGATTATGTGTAGCTTGCCTTGGCACGTAAAACTCGACTCAATGGAAGTAGAAAGCAACAAACAGTTTTTAAGTATTGAGTGAAACGGGGGAGGAGGAGAGACTGGAGCACATCCTGACCCACTAGGCCAAACAGAGCAGCCAGTCCACAGAGAGGACCACATGGCCAACCCCACTATGAGACGAGATGCTCC